GTGAAGGGAGGGCTAGGAATGGGGAATAAATAAGAACCAAGATGAATTATGTAAAGGTACAATTCCCTATGAGTAATGTAATTGTCTTGTATACCTACAATGTACCAATAAAAGAATACAAAAAAAAATTTCTTTATTTTATGAACATCTAAATCTTTCAGGCAAATCTTACTGTTACACTGGAAATGATAGTGAAGGAGAAACTCTCCGGGTACTGTTAAATGTCAAGGGACAGGTGACAAAAAGACTTTGTCACTTTGACCATTGGTCCATGTCACAATTTTTGACTACAGAGTTTCTATAGTTTTTGCCTTTGTCCAGCATCAGTGGTTTGAACAGATTATTGCTATTTAAGTTGAAAAAAGTATTATCAAGTAAAACCAATACTATGAAATATGAGACATTTTCCTTCCCCAAAAAGCATTAAAAAAGACTATTTTCCCTGAATGAGACTTTATGATCTGTACAGACTATGCAGAAATTTATTTTATTAAATTCATGCATCTACATTTTAAGAAATGAAATGAGACATCAGCATTCTAAAGAAATAGGACAAATCTTTCTTGTGGTTAAGTTAATTAATCAAGGTTGAAACTACTGTATCTTCATAGTTTGGAGGATACATAGAGCTTAACTGGATGAGTTCCGCTAGAAAATCCAGGTGAACATATAACTTTTTCTGAAAAGCTGTCTATGAACAAATAATGTAGTAACTTGCATAGTTTTTTCTTTCATGATGCTCTACTCCCTCAGTTTTGGGAAGAATCTTTACAAGCCTGTCATTACACCATGCAGGGACCTATGGAGATGTATTACTGGTTGATATAATCCTCAAAGTTCATCTCAGAATTACAAAACTCAATGCTGAACACAAGAGTAAAAATGACATCCTCTACTATACGAGATCTGCTTCAAACATAGGCTTACACTGAAAAGAAAAAAATCATACCAAGATGGCATACGCATGCCACAAAATGTGGACTGTGGAAGACACCAAGAAAACCATCTAACTGCCACTGTCTGGGTCCATAACCTCGGATGGCAGCTTTCGCTTTTGTCTGCCTGTGTCCTAACCATTAACTGGAATCCCACATGAACTCATCTACAATAATTTTCATATTCTTAACAATAAGATTTTACACACATTTAAAATTTCTCTTTTGAGCACTGAAGTACAAAACATTGCTAACTATAGTTCCGATTTTTAAAAAGGTATAAGATAAAAATTATATATTTACTTATGTATGTCCTTTTATCAGTCATCTGTGCTGCCTTAGTGATGGTGGTTTAATGAGACAGGCAGCCAACACACACTTGAGCATATGACCAGTACTTTCTCTTTGAGATATAATATATTTATTGGCCAATGCTGCCACCAATTATACTGTCCTTATGCTTTTAGTGAAGCTACCAATGTTAACAATTATAAAATGCCCTACCTTCTTTAAGAGACACCTTTGCTCTTAGTGCTTATATTTTAAATATTCATAAATTAATTCATCAATTTGATTATACACTGCTAAATAACCATTATCTTGCTTTTAGGCAAATTTTAGATTCATTGATTTCAATGTCATCAACCATTCCCTATTCCTCATGGAGCTAAAGAAGGTAAATACAAATGTCAAAAGAAAAATTCATCCAATAAATACTAACATTCCCATACCTGTACTTAGAATGAACCATGATATTTTAACATTAAACTTACATTCCCATTTTATTTCTTAGTACGACTTCTTTGCTTAGGATTTTTATTAGCTTTTGAAAATTTCACACATTTAAATATAACAATATGGTTCTTATAAGGCCATTGTCCCTTCTAATTCGAGCACTCTATCCAAAGGACTGATATTTAAGCTTGTAACTGGGTGAGAATCAACCAAAATCTGAAAATGATTTTTACCCGAGAGAAAAAGCTTAGGCAATGGGGGGGGGGGGGGCACACACAAATAAATGGAATTGTTCTGCAAGCCTCAGGACAGTCTAGAAATGAATGGCGTGATGAGAAAGACCAAGGGAGACATCGCTGGAAACTTCTGCTTACCCCTTGTTCAGATTCCAAAAGCTCTGTTTTGACTCTGACTGCCGGCATCCCATCAAGCATTAACATTCTGTTCTCAAAGGTGTTGATATTCTGAGAATAAAAGAGAGAGGGGAGAATCAGCTATAAAGCATCAAAAGAGGACATCTGGTGGAGTCTTCCTTCATTGGAATATCTTTAGCATTGCTAACCTAACTCTTTTAACAATGAAGTATAATTAAATGAGAGTATCAGCATAACCAATTATTTTGAAATAATGGCCAAGAAGTTGAATTAATCAGTCTGATTCTTTGACCTCTGGGTTGGAGGTCAGACTGTAATAAACTGAAGTGTGGTGACCTTACATTAATTTATATGGGGCTGAGACAATTTATCGCAGTTTCTCAACAGTGAAAGAAACTATAAGGCAAGTTTCTCTTCTCCTTAGTTCTAGAGGTTGTCTCATGTATAGACATCCACAAAGGAAACAATCAGATCAAAAATAACCTATATATTCTCAAAGCCTAAAAGCCAGAAAAATATAATTCTAGAGTAAATGAATTTATGTGGTATAAATTATATGGCAATTCTGACCAAATGAAAATTTCTGTATACGAACCGCCCCCCAAATATACTTTAAAAACAGCCCACATAATTGTAGCTTAAGAGTGACTGCTTAAAGCCATAACAGACTTTTTTGCCCCTGTTTTCAGGTATGTTTGGCTCAATTTACTACCTCTTGAAAGAGAAGCCTTATTTATATTCTGGCTCAATAGAAATTTAAACAAGATTTGTAAGAAGATTAAATAAAGTTTATTCTCTACTACTTTTTGTTGCTTTAGGAATTTTCTTAAGTCAGTAACCTATGAAAGGAGTCGGAACATCACACTACCAATGCTTACCTAAGACCAAATCGGGCTTGTACTTTAGAATGTGTTTAGAATTCCACCTTTACCATCCTGGTGTACTGAGTGAAGTAAGAAACTGACTGAGGTTTTAGAATGCTTATTTTTGCTCAATTACAGAATATAACCATGATGCTAAAGTGATCTTGATACAGGGATGATACAGAAGATGAAACAGGATCTCCAAATGATGTAAGGAAAATACTATAATTCTCAACCTGTTAGATGCCTGATACGCCAAGTCTGTGTTCTCTAAAATCAAAGAATGAATTCTAGGAACAATGGAGGCTAAGAGCAGAAAATATTTATTGAGAAGATAGCTCCTGAGGGGCAGGAAGGGTCCCAAATGGGTGTCTGAGGACCCTACTTTACAGGGAAAGTTTTATAAAGCACAACCACTTGGGTATTGGCTATGATCATCCAATAAGGTCACAAATATAGTCTTAGGTAACAGTGATCCAATGGGGAAACAAGTCACATAAAAAGTGTACATGGAAAGAACAAAGATTTTTTTCTAGAAAATGATGGATCCGGAGGTCTTGGTCACCCTCGGGGTGACTGGTGTCTATCTAGAGACTTCATTAGGCCAAGTGTTATTGCTTATCTTGTCCTTTGGGGAAGTACGCAAGCCTGGTCATTTTGTCTTTATCTTGGGGCCTGGCCATGGTTGTAATGTGTTTTTATCTTTTGCACTCTCTGGAGGACCTAGCCCTATCTGAGTGGCTATGTTTTTACTTAACATAGCTGTCTATAATAATTTTGCTAAATGTAAAAAAAGGTTTAATTATTAAATATTTTGGATACAGGTTAACAAAGTATAATTTCTGAACCTTGTTTTTTTACAATTAAAAAATTTTTTATTTGTACATGTTTATAGTACATGATGGTTACATTCATCATGGGGAGTTGGTACATGGACATAACACATCCTGATTCTTTTCACTCCCATCTAAACATTGATATTTTTGCCTTTCATAAAAATGCTTTTCCATAAAATAGTAAAAGTCTCATTTCAATCTACCATAAATTAAATGTTTTTATTACTAAATAATACCAACAGAGTACAGTATAGTGAAGCTCTACTCATGTTTCTTCATTCTACTTTTTAAGAAAAATATGAAATAAAACTTATAGGGCCTCATTAAAAATTGCTCTGAGAAGCCAACAAGAAAAAGCAAATTTATTCTAGTTATCTAATAAGTATTTTTAAAAAAATCAATGCCACCTAGACTAACTAGATAACAAAAAGAAGAAAACACATTACTGTCCTTTCCTTGAAAATACATGGTATTTTCAAAATTGGGAAGACATTTTTTCTTAATTTTTGCTTTTGATTTGTCTTGGGGTGGGGGGGTTGCTCCTTAGAGCAGAAGGAACTGTGGTATTGCTGGTGAGCTCAGTTAATTTGTTCCAAACTTAAAATTCTTTCATCAAGGCCTGTGGTTGTTTACACACTGGGCACAGATCTCAAACCCTAATGTGATCACTTGCTTCCGTCCTTGGAAGTGGCCAACTTGGCATGCTACCAGCCCAGTCTCAGGAAAGCCTTCCTGTAGCCAGAAGCCCTCAACTCCCAGCCTCCCACAGCAGTTCGCAAAAGCCTCCTTAACAAAGCATCCCATAGCCTGCTTGGTTGGTAGACAATGAAGGATGAGTTGAAATTGCTTCCTACCCTAGAGGTCTTGCCTGGATGAAAAGGGAAGAAGGTGCCTGGTAATGGAGCCCTAAGCAAAGGCAGAGAAAAGACAAAGAGCAATTCTGGAAAGACAGGTTTAATGAACTGTTAGAATCTGATTAGAGGCTAATGTCCCCTTTAGTGCTTTGTACCAATTTACAGCTGATATACTTTAACCATTTTCCCCACTGGCTGTGATAAACTCATTAGTTTTAAAAAATGCAAGCTAACCAGAGTCTTTGAAGTTAAAAACGGATAAATCATGAAAACCTGGTTGGGTCCATGTTCCACTTAGCACATTTAAATATGTCTTCATTTTCATATTTTTTTAAATTTTTCATTGTTGGCCATGAATAATTCCAGATGTGTTAAGAGCTGGGATGTACATTTTAGTTCATGTAAAAGAGAAAAATTATGAATTTTTAAAAACAAATCAAGTTTTCCCTGGAAATACGATTTTACCTTCTATGATTTTCCAGGATCATTCACAGCCATAACTATAATAAATTCAGTACCATAAATAACAATGTTAGTTGTTAGGGAACCTAGTCTCAAATGTCAAACTATTTCAATTAGTGTAGATAACGTCCAGGTATGTAGGGTAACTACAGTGTATATATGGAGCACATTATTCTGTGCATTCCTGATTCTAAGCCTGCTTAGCATACAGATTAAGCACTAAGCACCACAGCATGTTCAAACCTCCCAGGAAAGTGTATGGTTTTTAATTACACAGCATTGAAGATACAGTCCTTGGAACAAAATATCAATAGATTTATCTCACTAAGCTCAGACACATACAATCTCAGGTGACTACAGACTTTAAATATGTGATAGGTTCTAATAACATGGAATTACTGTCAAACATATCTTGCTACAATCTTAAAACACATTTGCTGTGAAATCAATAGCTCAATTGGTTCCCAAGAGGGAAATAAAATTATAGAGTCATCTATTTTAGATGGCACTTTTTGTATATTTATGGTATAAGCTCTTGATATATGATCCTAGACTTATACTTTATGTGTAATATGTATTATATACACAGGTGCACAAGCTACCTGTGTACAAGCTACCTGTTTCCTATGAGTGAATTTTATCAAGTAAAATCTACTACAGGATTTGTTAGAGGGCTTCTGATCAATACCTACACTGAGTAAGAACAACAGAGCTCTGGATAGCCCTACTTGCCAAATAAGATCTGACAACACAGCAGCATACAAATTATCAGTTTTCATACTCAAAAGCCATACCAAGTACAATAGCCATTTATCCCAACATCTCAAAATATCCACAATGGCACTTGCATCAAGGAAAAGGGACAGGTTTTCAATGACAGCAACTCATAAATACACACAATGAGGGTGACTCATAAATACATACACTAAGGGTGACTATGCAGGCCAAGGTCTACTATGTGCCTTCCTGCCCCCACAATGCAGGTCTTTCTCTTCCCCTCCTCTTGACTGTGGGTCAGTCTGCAAAACTGGAATAAAAAACTAGCCAGTGAATATTCAGCAAGGTTTCCTTTCCTAAGCCAAAAATGTTTTCTGTTGTTTTGCTCTCTGTAGATACAGGGCATATTTACTTATATATGTATTGACCTAAATCTTCATGATTGGTGACAGATGATGAGGCACCTTCACCCCATGCCCATTGTATTAAACAGTGATGTAAGGAAACAAGAAGTGGTTCAGGATTCACCAAGTCAAGTTTCTGAGGTACTTTCATGGCAGACCCTTAAAGCTTTATGATGCAAGCATGTCAAAAGCTAAGTGTCATCCTATGGGAAACAGCAACAGAATCACATTACAGGAAAATGAGTTTTGCATAAAAAAGACTTGTTATAGAAGTCACATCTCTCCTCTCTCTTGGCTAACCTCTACATAGTGACAACAATTAAAAAAAAAAATCCAACAAGATCCTGAGTTCAATCCCTGGTACAAAAAAAAAATAGCAAAATTTTTCAAATTCTACACTAAAGATGTGCCAGATCAACCAACTAAGGAGCTAATAACTAATTACACAACATGTACAGTGAAATACAAGAGAATCAGTGAAATCCTCTGGATAATGGGCTATCAAACTAATCTTTCTGGACAAAGGGCTATCAAACCTAATACAGTGGACCCATGCTTAGGTAATAATTTTAGTTATCTCTTGCTATGTGATAAATCATATAGTGGCATGAAGCAAATAATCATTCTTATTATCGTCTTGGTAACATAATAACTCATGTTTGCATATTTCCATGTCCTAAGAGTTACGCATACAGATACTCATTTAACTCTCACAGAAACCCAAGAAGTTGAAGCTATTATTATCTGAAATTAAAACATCTGAGAGACAAAAAGGTCAAGTTGCCCGAGGACACACTATTAGTAGGTAGTGCAGCTCTGTTCTAAACCCAATCAATCTGACCCTAAGCTTCATGTGATTAACAACCATATGCAATCTACTGCCCTCCTTTCCTGTCAATATGCACCCTCCACACATACAAATGGAAAAAATATGAGCAACCTTACTGAAGGTCT